ATGCCTGGTTGCTGCATGCCTGGTTGCTGCATGCCTGGTTGCTGCATGCCTGGTTGTTGCATGCCCGGTCTATTCATCCCATTTTGGCCCATCCCGCCCGCGCCTGCTCCCCCTGCGTTGGCCACGCCTCCGTTTGCTTGTTGGCCCCCGTTGTACTGTTGAGAAGCTCCAGGTTGCTGTGCCTGGCCCATTCCGCCGGGTGCACCACCAGGTGCCACACCTTGGACACCGGCAGCCTGCTGGGTTCCGCTCGCTTGTTGCAATGTGGCTTGCTGCGGCACTCCAGCCCCTTGAGTGACTCCAGGTGCTTGCAAGCCTCGCAGGATATTCTTCTCTACAGCAGTGCCACGCGCAGCAAACATCGCAAGGCTCAAAAGAGCCATGGCGCTTTTCCGGTACAGCATAGTTGAAGTCTGTGGGGTACTATGTATTTATGAGGATGGCAAAAAGTATGAGTTACTAAAGGAATAAAACATCGGTGCACACAAATGCCACGTGGATACATGACTCGTTGGATTAGCGCAAGGCTTATTGAATGCTTCCCAGAGTGGGAATGAGTGCGAAGTATGATACGAAGATGAGAAGGCCTAGTATAGATACGAGGGACAAAAATGAAGAATTCGCACACACAATCAAGAGCATAATCCGTAAAATTCCGCCCCTCTTTTAATCGTACATCACCCAAAATAACAGCCGGTATGGTGCAGATACATGGGAATAGCTCGCATCGCAGTAATCGTGCCACATTTGGAACAGTCGCTTACCCGTTCGTCACCCTGTCCTTTCACTTGAACACGTGCGTGTTCCAAATCAAATCTATCTTTGCGTTGCAAAAATATATAGCACTATTCCAGGGACACAATGCACGGCAGCGTCAATATTTTGAGCAAGACAGCTCTAACAGTGAGGGCGTTCGCACCGAAGGGCCGTCGGAGTGTCCGAGGATAAGCATCCTCAATCATGGAGCCGTGCTACATTTTCCTTTAAATGAGGGCAACGGCTTGAAATATTTCCACGTGAGCTTGGGTTTCCAGTCGCGTTACCGTTCGCGTGAAATGTCCCATATTACTCCTTTCTTTTTTGTAATTTGATCACTTTGTCAAGACAGGAGACCTGGAATATTGCAATTTAGGATAAAAAAGTAACTTTTTTACGTTCTTCACATCAAGCACATGGCAGGAGCATGTTGAAATTATTGTTCCTGTGTTGAGCTCCATTGTTGGTCATTTACATTTGTTGTCTGTGCATTGCAAATGATCAAACTATCTATGAAAATATATGAGCACTTAAATTGCTAATACGTGCTTCGTAGAAAATTTTAGTAGAATAACTCAGAAATTGAAGCCTTCCTTGACTCCTAAGTTGTGATCGATATGACAAATACTTAACCGCACATATGATCAGTTGCGAAATTTCCAATAATATATTTCTATGCATATATTTCTATGCGATGTCTTTTTATCAAGAGGAGAAGTGAGGGAAAATCTAATTCGCATGCGCTAGTTGTCAACGAGCAAGCTGCTCAAGCAGCTCGAGTAAAAAAACAACAGACTATAATTGAAGAGAGGCATTCTATCAGAGTCTTCACGCAGTAAAAATGTTCATCCGAGTTGGGAAGCTGCGCACCTTGTAAAAGAGCTTTTCTTCGGACTCGTATTCCGATTAATTTTATTCGGGGCAAGACAAAATATGCACGCGGGTGATATCAATCATATGTGTTCAGGTCGGCGTCTTGAAAATTTCTATAATTTGTTCGAAATCCCTCCTCACAAGATGCTTTTTTATAATGGCATCAGAAAAGTGTCCTTGAAAAAAATCAAAACGAGAAGCATGGCACAAATAACGTGCGAATGCCAGCTTGTCTCAGGCTCGATAGGTGATTGGGTAGAGCTTAGCTCCGATCGACTCGACCCTGGTCAGTAAACGACCGAAATTGCGAAAATAAGGAATCTGAAATAGCTTCAATGCTTGCTCTGACTTTATTGCAAGATACCTTACAGTAGATTGTTCTTTGCAAATTTAATCATTAAATGCAGGTTTTGATGCGACCAACGGGGCGCTGCGAGTAAGATGTTGCACCTTCACTTAAACGACAAGAGGCTTAGATTCCATACTTTTCCAGGAGACTTAAACAAAATATCTTGTATAAGAATTTCAATATTGTATCAAGCCTGCAAAGTAACCCTGCCACCACACAACCCTCTTTTTGTGATGGCGCGCCACATGTGCGCCTTTAAAAGTTAGGACTTACCTTGATTTTAATCCCATTACTGGGACCTTGAACGATTTTGCAAGACAACTATCGACAGGAAGGTGATTTACATGAGTTTAACTACTGACACAACGCCACAACGACAGAAAATTCCAACCCCCCGGGCTCAACAAGGGGAGCAGGCGCCATATATGGGCCAAAGAACAACACGCGTACGTAATGCCTTCAAGCCATGTTATCATTTCTTCTGTACTGTCGTGTGCAACGACGGAAACATAAGCATTTTTTAAAAGCCTAGCCATTCTATGCTATGCTCATATCAACGAGCCATCTACTCTGTGTTTCGCGTTGAATTGTGCATCCCATCTTCTCTTTCCGGACCTCAATTACCCTGGTTCAACGTTTGGAAAACTGCAAGCGCCACATACCCTAGGGTGACTCCCGTCGGCTTCATTTTCCATCAAATTTTCATGTTTCATTGCTTGAAGTATATCAGAGCTTATTTTTGCTCGCAGCAGCGCTGTCGACCGTCGTGGTTCCATGCAGCCAGTAAATTACAGGAGCAGACGAGGAGGAGGTAAATAACAGATAGTCAACCGTCATGATGCCATTTGGCCAATTTTCACCCTCCAATAGGACACACTCAGGCACATATTCTATCACTTTTTATATAGATCGACATTCCCATCGGATCCATTTATGTTCAACCTCCCCGCGATACCCACCCGCTCCTCCATGCTCCCCCTCGTCGGCCCGCCCTCAGTTTCCAAGCATGCAAGCATCTGATCGCGAGACCAGCTGCAATGGGCCTCCATGGCTATACTTTTCTCCCCACGAGCTGGCTGTTGCAGCCTCCACTTCTTTTGAAGCTGCCGCTCGTTCCTCCTCAATGGAAACACGAGCTCGGCTAATGAACACTACGCCATGGTGGGGGAGTGGCAATATCCATCAATCTGATTCAGACAGGAAAAGCCTCGATGAGATTGAAGCGTCACGAAGAGAGCAGCAAGAAGATGCCGACACGACTGCCTGCATGCGCAAAGTGTGGGCGGTCCTAGACCGTCGGGCTGCTATCCATGCATTGGCAATTCACCTCTCGCATGATGGGGAGTTGGACGGGGGGGAGAAGGCGAGGGAATGTTCCGCCATAAGGAAGGTTCAGCCGTGTGCCTGTGGTCGACCTTACATCGGATTCGACGTGCTGCCACAGGTAAAAGATGGGAAAGGCGGGGAAGGAAGTACCCGTGGAGTGAAAGGATGGGCGATGGGAGAAGGCGCTCTTAGCAGTACGCTCTTCTAATATGTACCGCCTGTCTATCCCTTCTCTTCGTCTTCATTTTCACCTCCGCCTCTTCGCCCTCGATACCAGTACCTCGTCGATGCCCTCGAGTTTTCTCGCCAAAACTCTACACCCAGACATCTAGTTCAGCACACAAGGGCCACGCAAGGCTCAACAGCGCCTCTGGGTCCATCTCCCTCATCTTGGAATCCTGTCTCATCTGGCTCGTCGAGGCGCACAAGGGAGAAAGGGTGGGAAACAGGGCGGGAGAGAGGAGGGGGCGGTGGGGAGGGATCGGAAGTTGGGAAAGGAAGGGAGGAAAGTGGAAGAGAGCCCTCCTCTGCTCGATTTATCAGTGGCACAAGATTTGAAGGGAAATTTTGCGGCGCCGATACAATGGAAGGTCGAGGTAATACGATATCGGAGGAGGGAGAAAAGCTGGGAGGGCGGGTAGCAAGGGTTCCCGCCCTTCTCTTGGATAAGAGGAAGCCCGGCGAGGGAGGCGTCGAGAGGGAGGAGAGGGAGGAGAGGAGTAAGGAAGGATTCAAGGGCGGTGAGCCAGCTGGCCCCTGGCCCCCGAAAGGGCCTTCCAGCTATTCCCTACCGCTGTCTGCCTCTCGTTCTCCCGTGTCGGCCCCGTCTTTCCGCTCCCGGTATGACAGAGGAGAGGCACGTCGGGGAAGGTGGGCGGGAGAATTGAGTGCAGGCGGTGGGAACGAAGCGGGGGATGGATCATGGGAAGGCAGGGGTGGAGACAGGGGCAAAGGCGCAAGGAAGAAAAGTGGCGGACGGAGAGGAGGAGGAAGAGGAGGAGGAGGAAGTCAGAGTGGAGGCGGGCCGGCGTCTTCCCCATTGGCAATCCCTGCTTCGATATATCGCCAGTCCCAGCTTCCTTCCATTCCACCCTCCTCTACGTCAAGCCAGAAATACCCTTCCACGTCCTCCTGGCTGCCCACAACGCCCCCGCGTCCTTTGGTGCATGAACCGCGCTCCCCCTGCCCCCCTGCCAGCCTCGCACCACCTCCTTCATCCCCCACCTTACCGATCCATCGTCCTCATCTCAACGCACCTGCCGCCCCACCCACTGCTGTCTTGGTGTCATCCTCCTCCGGATCCACACGACGTCCTACCTCCCTCTCCAACCCCCTCACCTCCCCGTCCTCACCTCCCTCCCTTGCGGCTAATGTAGGACCCACAGATGTAGCCAGCATAGGGAGAGGGCTGGGTGGAGGGGGGGAGGTGGAAGGTATAGGAGGGAGGGAGGACAGAATGGGAAATGCCCCCCCCCGAAAGTCTTGGAGGCAAAGACGGAAAGGAGGGAAGGAGCACGAAGGGATGCAAGAATAGGGAAGTAAGCGGATCGCTCAGGTATGGCAGGTGTTTGAGGAGATAGGAAGTACGCAAAGGGGTCTTGGACGAAAAACGTGGCGTTACCAACTATCAAGGAGAGGGTGGAAAACTGTGACGTCATGGGACCAAAAAACGCGAAGAAAGGATGATAAGGACGAATAGGAATGAAAGACAAAAAATCGGTCGGGGGGACAAGTGCAGAGTGGGCTACGGGAATGTCGCAGCTGCCTTTCTGACTGATGTTCGCTGAGAGACAAGAGAATGACAGTAAAACGGAGATTAGCATCCGGGAGGGCGAGCGAGGAGAAGAGACAAGGCCTGGGGGGGTGATACGAGAGACGCAGGGTGAGAAAGGGAAGCGAAAGCACCTCGAAAGGAAGGAGGGAGGAGGGAAAGTCAATGCCACCCGAGGGACAAAAATGATGCTAAACGAAAAGAAAAGCGCCGGCGATAGTCACTGTCGGTTGAAATAGGCTGAGCCTAGTCAGGTGCACCCCGCCTCTCCATCCTGTCCGTCCTCTTCTCCCTTCCTGCGGGGCCAT